TACTGCTACTACTGCTGCTACTTCGACTACTGCTGCTGCTGCTGCTACTACTACTACTACTACCACCGCCACCACGACTACTACTACTACTACTACTACTACTACTACTACTACTACTATACTACTACTACTATACTACTACTACTACTACTACTACTACTACTACTACTACTACTATAATAGGAACAGTAATAGTAGCGTATTTGTAAGAACTAGAGGTCGTGGCAGTCGGAAGTCGGCTCTCTACGATGAGCTGCTGAGCCGCGGATGTGTTTACCAAGCGCGTCACGGCTTTGAGCGGCCGGGTTGGTTTGTACCCTCCTCGGGCAGCCAAGAGGCTCTCAGCTATGACTTCTATGGTGCCTATGAGGAGGGCGCTTGGCGACTGGGCGAAGCCGATCATCCTGATATTCCCAAGCATGAAAGCCACGAGTACCTGGACCTTGTTGAGGGAGAGCTGACTTTTGACTGGCCTCAGAGTCATGCCACCGTCGCGGAGGAGTGCCGTGCCGCACGCGAAGGCGTGGCCGTCTTCGACCAGTCCTACTTCGGCAAGTTCTACTTGAACGGACCGGACGCAGACCAAGCCGTTCAGTACCTGTGTGGTGCAGACATGGAGAACAAGCGAATAGGATCCGTGACCTACACGCCTTTGTGCAACTCTCGTGGTGGTGTGGAGGCCGATCTCACCGTGACGAAGTTGCAGAACCCCAAGGGCGACAACTGCTACTACTTCGCGGCAGGTGGCAACACGGCCACAAAGGACTTAGCCTGGATCCGGAAGGTTTTAGAGGACCAGAACTTTGATGCACACATCGAGGATCACAGTGAGTCTATGACCCTCATCTCAGTGCAGGGGCCCCATAGCCGGCGCTTGCTTCAGTCTTTGACTGACTCAGACATGAGCCTTGACTTCGTCTGCATGATTTTGGGTTCGTCTAACAACCCTCCGACCTTTCGAAAAGTACTAAAACCCGAAGCCCTAAAACTCTAATACAGGGGCCTTAATAATTACCTATGCTGTTTTGGGGGTTCCTTATTATAATTTCTAGTATGGCATACCCCAAAACCCTATTCTAATTATCAAGGCCCCTACATTAAATTACCCCTAAACCCTAAAACCCCAAACCCCTAAACCCTAAACCCTATACCCTAAACCCTAAACCCTATAAACCCCATAAGCCCTAAACCCTCTAAACCCTAAGCCCTAAACCCCTGTTAAAAAGGATCGACGAGTCTCTGCCTTTCTCCGGCGCAAAGCACCTGGAGATCGCCGGGCATCCGCTCCTGGTCCTTCGGCTCACCTTCGTCGGTGAGCTTGGCTTTGAGCCTCGGTTCCAGGGTTTAGTGTTTAGGGTTAGGTTTAGGGTTTAGGGTTTGGGGTTTGGGGTTTAGGGTTTAGGGTTTACAGATCATGGTAGTAGGATGTTTGTTAAGTTAACTGGCTTTTAACTGGTTTTAGGGATGTTAAAGTTATCCAAAAATAGGATGTGCCTTGACTGGCTTTTGACTGGTGTTAAAGTTGCCCAAAAATAGAATGTGCGCTACGAGGTGTTTATTGGGCCTGAAGTTACCCAAAAGCATTCCTAATGGTGCGGCTTCTTGTCGGGTGTCTTAGTCATTGCTGGGAGTGGCAGCAGCAGAAGAAATCCGCTGTCGCAATACAGGCAGTGCCCGGCAATTGTGTGGCAATCGCCGGCTCTTTTTTGCGGGACTGTTGCGAAGCCCATAAGCCCTTGCCTCCAAGACCCTTCACGCGAGAACCCTAAAGCCTACCCATAGACTCCGTAGTAGTTCTTTTCTGGGGTTTACCTTTATATTATAGGATCCTAAATATAAACCACAAAAAGGAACTACTTTGGAGCTTATGGGTAAGCCTTCAACATCCAGGAGCTGCACACTCCCGCCGAGTCCGCAGTTGCGGTCTACCGCGCCGTGCACGCCGCCGGGGCGAAGCTTTCCGAGCTTGAGGGCATTCCAGTGCGGGATGCAGGGCACCTCGGGAGTATAAGGGTTTCGAGCTTCGGATTCAGAGGCGGAGATATGGGAGTAGAGACTGTTATAGGTGATCAAGACCCAGTTGGTTATACTCCTATGTAAGACTTCATGTTGATTGCTGTATAGCTGTGTGTAGATGTGCATTACCCACCTACTTTTATGTCTGTCTGTTTGTCTGTCTGCCTGCCTGCCTGCCTGCCTGGCTGGCTGGCTGTCGGTGTCTGTGTTTGCTTGGCCACAATAAGATTTGTAGAGCCCTGCATCAGGTGAAGTAACTACCCTGAACTGTGAGAATGAAGGGACACTGAAGACCCTGCCTATCAGCAGGAGCAGCTAAGGTATAGGGCTATAGACAGCCTGTCCGCGGAAAAGAACCTCCGCCACTGGCACGCGGACCTTAGCAACCGGGACACTCCGCTGGAGGCAGATGGGAGCACAGAAGGACAAGTCACAAATCACCTAAGTACTGTTCCGTCGAACACACCCTTCAATGGTCCTTATCTAATATAGCTCCAAACCCTGTTACCCTAAATCATCAATCCTAAGCTCTTATAACCCTTAAAACCCAAACCCTCAAATCCTAAATCCTAAGCCCTACACTCTAATCCCTAAACTTCTAGGCCCTAAACACCTAAATCCTAAAACCCCAAACCCTGCATCTTAAGCCCAAAATGCTAAAGTCTACCATTTATAGACTTTAGACCCCAAACTAACGGTACTGTTTGTATACTTTTTAGCCCGAGGGTAAAGTCTAAATTCTATCGAACTATCCCCTAAACCCTAAACCCTAAACCGAAACCCTAAACCCTAAACCCTAAACCGAAACCCTAAACCCTAAACTCTTTTGGAATCCTGGAGGCCGGCATCGGCTTCACAGTGCTCTCGAAGTTGAAACGGACAGGCGTGGCCTGCAAGCGCAGGGCTTGGGGGTTTAGGGTTTAGGGTTCAGGGCTTTAGGGACTTTAGGGTTTTACTCTTTTCGGGTTTGGGGTTTAGGGTCCAGAAACCCTTCCGCTTGTCAAGTGCTATGATCAAAACCTTTACTGTCTTCGTCGCTGCCGCCATTGTTAACTTATGTCAGTGGCGCTGTAAGGCGCTGTATGAACTGCACACTTCAATCGTGGTTCCTATGACACAAGACTTGACAACCAGTGTACAAGGAAGAACAGAGTTCAGAGTCTAAAGCCCGTTCTTCACAATGACCAACAAATCCGTACTAAACGCCTCTCGGAAAAGCAACCCACATCACGCATGCCGCGCACGCAAATCACAAAGAACACACATGATTGGGCCATCCACACACCTAAACTCTACACTCCAAACCAAACCGAAAAAGCTAGACTTCCCCAAACCCTGCTATGACGAAACGTACACCAACAAGCCCTAAACCCTAAACCTATGCACCCAAAGGCCCGGATGCGCCGAACTTCCTGGGCCGCAGCGCCCTCGAGGGCCAGCGTGAGGGCCACAGTCCTTTAGGGGTTTAGGGGTTTAGGGGTTAGTGGTTTAGGGTGTATAGGGGTTTAGGGTTTAGGGTTTAAGGGCTCTCTTCTCTTGGTCCTGTAAGGCCCATTGGGTTGCAGGGTGCTTGGGGCTTCAGGTAGTTTAGGGCTGGGGTTTTCGGTGTTGTTCGGGGAAAGCCAAAGTGTTAAAATTAAAGTGTAGGATTAGAGGGTTTAGGCGTCAATAGTTTCCTTGGCCCGAAAGAACACTGAGGTGAAGCCGGGTTACGGCGGAAGCTGGTCTGCCTCGTGCTGGAGGTCGGTTTGTGGTTAATGGTTTTTCGTGGTAATACAAGTTTTGTTCAATTGAGTGTTGCTGTCGAGCTTTTGTTCTTCGTCAAGGGTTGTTTTTGCATCGGGACGTTAACAATATCTTCGTTTTTTTATAGTAGTGGTTAGAGGCCCGCGATGAGGCTACAAGCATGCATCCTCTGCTGGTGCTTCATTGTGAGATGTCCAGAGTTGCAGGGCTTTTGAGAAAGGGCAGCACCACGGTCCAGCTATCGTGACTCGGAAATATAAGCAGGGTAGCGAGGTTTCTACGATTTAGATTGGCGTTCTTTGTTGTAGTTGTTATGTGTAAAATGCATGCATGCTGCTGCTTTCCTATTATCGGTACTTTGTGTTGCCTGTATTGTCAGAATAAAGAGCATTATGAAAATTATTACCCTCAGCTCCGCGAACCAGTAGATCAGGCTTGACTTTGGACTCTGACTATTGCTATCATTGCTGTTAACGCTTCCATGTCAACTTTGGTCCTCCTCCTGAAGGTGCACAGATGCAAGTAAGAAGAACGTAAGACCACGGCCGGCAGTCCTCGGTTGGAAAGGTTGGGGGATCGGAGGTGCAGAGGATGCTTCAGCTATGGTCTCCAAACTTCCCTACGCTTCAGCCACCAATGGCAACTAAAACAAAAAGCAGCACGCATGCGAAACGAAAGGCAAGCATGGCACAGGAAAACTAGCATTGTTGTTACATGCAGATGGTGGCGGAAGCGTCGTCGGCCCCGAATCAATCCCCTTTGACACCGCCCCGAACCAAAATACAGGTCTGTGTAGCAATGTCGGTACTATACTATACCGCATACCCCTATAACCCTAAAGCCCCATACACACCCCTAAGCCCTAACCCCCCGTTTTACAGTCGAACTTTACCAGTAAGACCTTCTAACTTCAGGAAACATTTCCTGAACAACATGTGGGATCCATACCCTAAACCCTAAACCCTAACCCCTAAAACCCCTAAACCCCTAAAACCCTAAACCCTTAACCCCTAAACCCCTAAAACCCATAAACCCCTAAAGCCCTA